GGGGGGTCTGAGGGTTGCCCCCCCTAAAAATATAATTGATAACCATGCTGTGTATTGTAAATAATATAACAATATATACGTAAAATAATTGTGTAAGTAGTTAAACAATACAAACACAAATGGGACAAAAAAGTATTAAGTTTAGAAATGTTTTGAGCCGCCCCCCCTTTGCCTCACAGTGCCTGCTTTCCCCCTTTACCTCATCAACAAAGTTCTTCAGTAGTTGTGGAACTCCAGTAAGTAGGCTGTCTAGGCTATTTTATTCACTTTAAACATCGGATGAAGTGATTCTTTTCTCTTTAATACAGATGATGCTGAGTATAAATTAGTTTAAAAAAAAAGATTAAACAATGTATTTTTTCATGAGTCCGCTATATGTTAGCAATAATAACATTAGCTTGTTTAGTTTAATACTGTAATATTGTAGACCAACCGATGTGTTGTGCTTAATATGATGTTAAACGGCAGATTAGTGGGCTTTTGTCACGAATCCTGTCCGTGACCTTCTGTACGCTTGCCACCTGAGGTCGCCCTCCCATTATATTGACTCTCACATTACACAGACTGTCACATGTCACTCCGGACTACATTTCCCATGTTTCATTTCACTGATTCTGTTTTCACCTGCAGCCAATTACACACACTATAAAAATCAGTCTCAAACCACCATTCAATGCCGAGTATTGTTTAGCATTTATCACTCTCCAAGTGATAGCTCCTTTACGAAGCCAGTCCTGATATTCTGGTTTATTCTAGTCCTGTCAAGTGTTGCCTATTTAGTCTAGTCATGTTTTCGGATTTCTTGCCTGTCTGTGGATTACTCTCTTGCCCTGCTCTGTGTGGACTCTGTTTGACCCTCGCCTGAAATTTTGCTCGTGCTATCGGATTACCCCTCTCGTGATGCCCTCTGGATATGGTTCGCCGATCGAAGACCCACGCTTGCACTAGGAATACTCTTTGTCTTGCCTCATCTATATCTGTTTGCTGTGTATCGATCCATACCTGTTTCTGACCATGATAATGAATAAAGCTCTGCAGATGGATCCGCACGCTTCCTCAGTTCATTCCAGGGCCAAGTTTGCCCACCCCTGGTCTAGATGGTGCTAATGAGTATGATTTTGAACTCTCTGTCTTGCCAGTTTCTGTCAATGAGTCTAATCATGAACTCTCAGTCTATCCAGGATCAACCCATGAATCAGTTTTTGAATAATCTGTCTGTCCCATTTCCCTCAATGAGCCTGAGTTTCAATCACCTGTCTGTTCCGATCTCATCGACAATTCTGATCTAGTACTATCTGCCTGCCCAGTATCAGTCCATAAGTTGTTTGTCAGTTCAGTTCTAGCCAATGCTCTTGGTTTTGAACAGTCTGTTCACACTATCTCAGCCAATACATGCAGTTTTGAACTGTCAGCCTATTTTGTTCCAGTTAACGAACCTGATTCTGAACCTTCTGTCCAATTTCAGTCAGTAAGTCTAATGTTGAGCCATCTGTCTGTCCTATTTCAAGTAATATGTCTGATGAACTTTCTGTCTGTCCTGTTTTAGCCAATGAGTCTGATGTTGAACCATCTGTCTGTCCATTTCCAATCAAGAAACCTGTTATCTGCCCCATTAGTCCAGTTATGTGCCCAGAAAATATAAATGCACTCCATGTCTGTCTCGTTAACCCTGTCACTGCTATAGAGACCATTCATTAACTGTCTGCCTGTTCTGTTTCCCCAAATGTGTCTGCTGAACTGTCTGCCTTGCCAGTCCTAGTCTGTAAGCCTGTTTATGAACTGTCTTCCTGTCCAGTTTCAGTCAATAAGCCAGATTTGGAACTGTCTGCCCGTTCAGTGGTCACCAGGGAGACTATTGATGAACTTCTTGTGTTCCCTGCCTCGGTTCTTGAGACCGTGAATGTACTGTCTTGTTTCTTGTGTCTCAGTTTTTCCCATGTCCCAGTCTCTGCTATGGGTTCCTGATCCTTCTGGTCGGGGGGTCTGAGGGTTGCCCCCCCTAAAAATATAATTGATAACCATGCTGTGTATTGTAAATAATATAACAATATATACGTAAAATAATTGTGTAAGTAGTTAAACAATACAAACACAAATGGGACAAAAAAGTATTAAGTTTAGAAATGTTTTGAGCCGCCCCCCCTTTGCCTCACAGTGCCTGCTTTCCCCCTTTACCTCATCAACAAAGTTCTTCAGTAGTTGTGGAACTCCAGTAAGTAGGCTGTCTAGGCTATTTTATTCACTTTAAACATCGGATGAAGTGATTCTTTTCTCTTTAATACAGATGATGCTGAGTATAAATTAGTTTAAAAAAAAAGATTAAACAATGTATTTTTTCATGAGTCCGCTATATGTTAGCAATAATAACATTAGCTTGTTTAGTTTAATACTGTAATATTGTAGACCAACCGATGTGTTGTGCTTAATATGATGTTAAACGGCAGATTAGTGGGCTTTTGTCACGAATCCTGTCCGTGACCTTCTGTACGCTTGCCACCTGAGGTCGCCCTCCCATTATATTGACTCTCACATTACACAGACTGTCACATGTCACTCCGGACTACATTTCCCATGTTTCATTTCACTGATTCTGTTTTCACCTGCAGCCAATTACACACACTATAAAAATCAGTCTCAAACCACCATTCAATGCCGAGTATTGTTTAGCATTTATCACTCTCCAAGTGATAGCTCCTTTACGAAGCCAGTCCTGATATTCTGGTTTATTCTAGTCCTGTCAAGTGTTGCCTATTTAGTCTAGTCATGTTTTCGGATTTCTTGCCTGTCTGTGGATTACTCTCTTGCCCTGCTCTGTGTGGACTCTGTTTGACCCTCGCCTGAAATTTTGCTCGTGCTATCGGATTACCCCTCTCGTGATGCCCTCTGGATATGGTTCGCCGATCGAAGACCCACGCTTGCACTAGGAATACTCTTTGTCTTGCCTCATCTATATCTGTTTGCTGTGTATCGATCCATACCTGTTTCTGACCATGATAATGAATAAAGCTCTGCAGATGGATCCGCACGCTTCCTCAGTTCATTCCAGGGCCAAGTTTGCCCACCCCTGGTCTAGATGGTGCTAATGAGTATGATTTTGAACTCTCTGTCTTGCCAGTTTCTGTCAATGAGTCTAATCATGAACTCTCAGTCTATCCAGGATCAACCCATGAATCAGTTTTTGAATAATCTGTCTGTCCCATTTCCCTCAATGAGCCTGAGTTTCAATCACCTGTCTGTTCCGATCTCATCGACAATTCTGATCTAGTACTATCTGCCTGCCCAGTATCAGTCCATAAGTTGTTTGTCAGTTCAGTTCTAGCCAATGCTCTTGGTTTTGAACAGTCTGTTCACACTATCTCAGCCAATACATGCAGTTTTGAACTGTCAGCCTATTTTGTTCCAGTTAACATTCTGAATTCTGAACCTTCTGTCCAATTTCAGTCAGTAAGTCTAATGTTGAGCCATCTGTCTGTCCTGTAATATGTCATATGTCTGATGAACTTTCTGTCTGTCCTGTTTTAGCCAATGAGTCTGATGTTGAACCATCTGTCTGTCCATTTCCAATCAAGAAACCTGTTATCTGCCCCATTAGTCCAGTTATGTGCCCAGAAAATATAAATGCACTCCATGTCTGTCTCGTTAACCCTGTCACTGCTATAGAGACCATTCATTAACTGTCTGCCTGTTCTGTTTCCCCAAATGTGTCTGCTGAACTGTCTGCCTTGCCAGTCCTAGTCTGTAAGCCTGTTTATGAACTGTCTTCCTGTCCAGTTTCAGTCAATAAGCCAGATTTGGAACTGTCTGCCCGTTCAGTGGTCACCAGGGAGACTATTGATGAACTTCTTGTGTTCCCTGCCTCGGTTCTTGAGACCGTGAATGTACTGTCTTGTTTCTTGTGTCTCAGTTTTTCCCATGTCCCAGTCTCTGCTATGGGTTCCTGATCCTTCTGGTCCATTGTGGTGTTCTTCTGACATGCTCTGGTGGTCTTCTGCTCCGCCTGTTCCGTCTGCTCCGCCATGGTGGTCTTCAGCTATGCTCTGGTGGTCTTCTGCTCTGTCTACTCCACCGTGGTGGTCTTCTGCCCTACTCTGGTGGTCTTCTGCTCCGCCTGTTCGGTCTGCTCCACCGTGGTGGTCTTCTGCCATGCTCTGGTGGTCTTCTACTACGTGAAGAACGCAAGATAACTTAACAATTATAAAATGACCGTGTGGTGAACCCATGAACCTAACTCATATTTAAACAACTATCGATTTGTGTTGTTGGCCAGATAAAATGACAGTGAAAAATGCAAGATGGCGCCGATGATGATGGCGGCCTC